AAGTCGCGCCCAGGTCAAACCTCATACTTGTGATTTCCATTTGAAGAGCGCATTGGATTGGGGGGGGGGGGGGAAATCAAGGTTTATCAACACAAATGTCGCACATGCACAGCGCGACGACTACCGCGCTTTAATATGTCATCTGATGTACCCCGCCTCGGGCCATGCTTGTTTACTTCTACCGGATTAGTATAGGTTAATGCTACGATGTAATCATAGTATGCGTATTGTGTGCTCTAAAAATGAAATATATTGCTCTCTATAACATTGACATTGACTTTTGTAGCTCAGGTATGCTGCAACTCAAAAAAAAATTACAATAATAAGATTAACGTCCCATTTGTACATCCATCAACACCTAGTCGAGGAAACAAGCTGTGTTAGAAAGAATAGTTTACAGGTTAATAAACCCATTTAGTCTGTCATTCCGGAATACCTGATTGGTCATGCATTCACCTACGTCATTATAGCATTAGCATATATTCACTAGATCCACTGATTCAGAAGTGGCACAAACTTCTACAAAACCTCTCTCATCTCCGGGAATGAAATGAAATGATGTGTTGTCATGTTGAATTTACTATTTATTGGAAAGTGTACTATTTTAAAACATCCCTATTGAAAAAAATAACCCTCGTCATAATTCGTTATACACGGGATCTAAAAAAATATTAATAAATACAGAAAAGCACGTGACTTCGACCACAGTGTTGGTTAATGGTGATTGGACAAACATTCTATCTCGAATACCTGAGATGTGATCACATCTTCACATTTTTGAAAAAATAAAATTCTGTCTTTGTTCAAAAAAGACATTGATCATATAATTAATAACAGTTAGTACATTAGTTATAATATATCTATATAGTGACATTTATTTACCAACCAGATACAAATTAAACATATTACTACCCTGATTGTAACTCGTAAAGCTGCTTTTTCAGCGTTCAGTGCATTTTGTATGTATATATGGCATAACACTTTTTTTTTTCTTCGCTGTGTTTAAATTTGAACTGCCAGCAAGTCTTTATCCAATCAAGGCACGCGTTACAAAAGACTTTATACATAATAATGCGTGCAAATAATATTAAAGGGCGGTCGTCGTCGCGAAGAGCGTATTCGAATTTCGTGTAAATAAACAATGTATTTTACTCGTGTTGTGTGTCGTCGCTATAAGTCCCGTATCGAACAGGACACGGCGCGACGGCTGCCGCCCTTTGAACACATAGTGCCTACATGGCAGCACTCCAACTCAAAAAGTTGTCACTATTGCAAAATATCAAATATGAAACAATGTGGAAGCCTAAATCCGCCCTGGTCCCTTACTTGTCTTCGTCGACCCCCAGTAAGCATTTCCAAATTGCCCTCCTTGTACAAACGTATGTAATGAATACGTGGCAAACTATCGTTTACTCTATGTGTTCAATCTTACGGATATCTATAGCGAGAAATGGTCGAGATTTTCTTTTCATAATCGTCACGTTCTCCGCTGTTGTATTCAATGACAACGTTCCATGAAGCCCGTCTCCCAGTGTACTGACAGATATTGCCGCACGTAGGCTTTTTCTGGTCATTGAACCTTTGAAAGCAAATTGAAAAAGCCACATTTGAGAAAAAGATGCACACAGGAATGAAGCAGGGTTTCAGAATCCAATAATGCGTAGTTATCACAGAGGGCACCGATTCAGAATCTAGGATTCTGGGATAGGGGGGCCAATAAGTTGGCCGAAGGCCAAGTTCGCGAGCGCCGATTTAGTTGTTAAAAATAGGGGGCCGCGCCCCCCTCGGCCCCCTCTAAATCCACTCATGGCGCTCTTTGTGTAACAATGCACTCGTTAGACGATACTTAGGGAATAACGACGACGCGCTGCACGTTAATGCACGATAAAGGACAAGGACGGGGATGTACGCAATAATGGGTCTAGACGTATTGTTTAAGCGAACGTCCCTGTTCGAAACTTGCCGTTCATTATATGCAGTCTGCTAGTGTGTACAGGTTGTATCATATCAATCTAAAAAAAATCCCGAAAACCGGAAACGAAATATCGGTAGGCTAGCTTAGATTCAGCAAAATATGTAAATAAAGTTATGGCGCAGTAAGGAATTGACAAACAAACAAGTCAAATTTAACTCTTAATTACATTCACCAGATATTCGGCATAATATTACGTCTCTGGAATTGTCAAAATATGGAATATATAATAGATGCTTTTAAAGTAACGGGAAGAGTGTATGACATTTTTTTGAATAAAGCGTTCTCTGTCTGTCTGTCGAAAGCCTGAATACAGAGAAATACAACTGAATATGTGATCATTTGTTTACATAAGTACCACGTGACAGACTAAATGTCGAACCTTGCGATACAAGATAATATATGTATAGCTCATATAGCAAACACCCCGATTTCCTTTCAGGTCGCCTTGTCCCCACGACTCTACAATCTAAAACAAATCTACTAGTATGTAAATGTCTTCTGAGTTCTTGCATTTCACGTAGCGATATCGCGCTCTATATTAAGTGTCCGTGATATTATGACTGAGAATTGGGTAACAGTAACACACAATATCGGGTGTCAGCAATACTCATTGCTCCAGTTATACAAAAGTACCCAAGACTGTCTTTTTGACTTTTTTACGCATTAGCGACACGTTTCGTCACTTTGCGGTATTATACCGACGCTTGGACCGAGAACACGGGGCATTAGGCGAAGTGTCACACGAATTCAATAAGGCCATGTACTGACGGCGTACATTGCTTCGAACTACATGTTAGATTGTTTAAAAAGCTGTTACCACGAACGTCTGATATCATTTTGTGGATCACAGTGTAAGCATTAAATAGCATATTCCAGGGTCCTAATCATTGCTATATTGTCGAGTTCATAATTTACAAGGCCAGTAGTTAAACATACATACGACGAAATTAAAAATGGACACGGGATGTTATTTTTTTCTTCCTTTATGTTCTTACAAATCATTCTTTTGAAATTCAATTATTGTAGCCAGACAATTTTCGACCTGTGTTTGACGAGAGTGTTCATGGGCAAGGGTCGGTGGATTTGTTAAATGTATCGCTATACAACATTTGTTGGACTTCAGTGATATGTAATCCTGTACAAGGGTTGGTGGATTTGACGAGTGTTCATGGACGTACAAGGGTTGATAGATTTGTTAAATGTATCCCTGTAAATATTTGTTGGACCTGAGTATGTAATCCTGTGCAAGGATTGATGAATATATATCAAATGTACTGAAGCACACATTGAAGCACACGGACTCTTGGATTTGTGAAATCGATCCCTATACAAAGACATATTGGCTGTAATGTCAGCTCTGGCCAAACGTATTGTTGTATTCCGTTATTCTGGCCAGATATAAAGGACCAGGTAAAAATTAGACAACAGAGTTATTCCTTCACCCCTGAAAACCCAGGGCTGTAAACATTAAACGGAATATATTTAATAATATTACAAAACAATCACATTATGAATACAAAATAAACGGTGAACCTGACTCCGTCCTCTGATAGGAGACTGTGTGATGTAATAGTATTTCAGCACTACAGATTGTCAAATGTCATTCCTTTATTTACATTTATTTTGCAGACTATGTAATAATAATAATAATAATAATAATAATAATAATAATAATAATAATAAGAATAATAATAATAACTTTGAAAGTAATATTGATTATTAATGGAAAACAATTATTATGAAACGTCGGAATCACTCTGTCTATTTGAATACTGTAAACGCTTTCTTATCACATTAAACTGGTCGCTGTTTCTTCGTTTTACACTCAAATCTACATGAGCAAAGGCAAGCCTCAATAGGTCTCGACTGTATACAGCGCAACCTGCAGCGGATGTTCCCATTTTCCCTGAAACTTTTTAGCACACTACCTAGTCAGCTGTAGTAAAGAACATGATGCAATTTAAACCAGAATCCGCCATTTTATGTCGTCTGTTTTGTAATTACGCTTGTTTGATTCTATTCAATTCATGGGGAGCGCTAGCTGTATATATAAAAACGCAAAATATGCTTGTCATGGTCGTTAAGTGACCGCCACGCTAAAAGTACACGTAGATTAAAAATTAATGAAGTGCACGTGAACCAGTCACAATGTTGGCAGCTATCCAACAGAACGGAGCACGCCGTCTCGGAATGGGTCAAACGTGGCGATAAAAATAACAAAAAAACAACAACAGGCTAGACATAGATGGGACACAGCGATAACAAAATCACTGGTCTCACGCTCCCAGCCACCACTCCTCATCGTTTTAAATGCTAGCCCCTCCTAAAGCTAAATACGGTAGCTAGGGGTAGTCCTTGAGGAACCCGGCGAGCGATGACAGAATTTAAAAAAAAAAAAAAAGATGCACAGTAAAGTGATCATTGAAAAATCTTGCAGAGATCAATATTAGAAACAAATATGCTTAAATAATAGGAAAAATATATTTAAACAGAAATTGGAGCAAATTCATGAAGAAAAAACACACAATTAGCACAAACCTATTTTGAACAGTTTTTCTATCATTGCCCAAAGTCTCTACTGGTCCGCCCCTTATTGTGCCAACATTACAGCACTGGTGATTATAAACACTTTCACTTTCCCATGCTTGTAAGGTACAACGTTGCAGCACACTGCGTGGCAATTGCCATACCACGTAGTTCTAGTCAGCGATAACACCGAAAGCTATCGTAAAGTATATCTTGATTTCAACGTAGACCTACAAACCCTTTATCGATGCCGATTTCTCGACAACACCAGATGACCTCTTTGTATAATTATCATGTTTAAATGTCTCGTTATTCAACCGTAAAAAAATAAATGTTTAAAACGAACGCTACCTGAATATAATACACTGCGACTTCCGTTTGATACTAAAAAACGTGACTGGCGCGATATTTTGCATTGAACGACCCTCTAAGTCAGCGGTGCTTACTTATATATTAGAAAATAACCAGTAAGCTGGAGGGCGTGTTCTAGATCTATATTGTAGTTTACCAAGCAGAGAGATATGATTCACAATAGAGTTCTCTTCGTTTAAACGGTGAGTACATATTTATCGTATACACGTTGTCTTGTAGACTGGATGATGGGAATTATCGTATTTTGTACGGTTTTTCCGTTTGACGCAATTTGATCAGTAATCAACATAAACGGTTTAGATTTATTTTGTAGGTAATGGTGTCACACTTGGGGCCGAGTGTGAAGTGTTCGATATAATCGTAGACAGTTTCACTATACGTGCATAATCGTCGTTGAAACGTGAGTCTGGCTAAAATCAAATTCCACGGACCGTTGATGTATTTTCCCTTTCAAAATACCGGTTTCAATTTAGAATCCTAAAAATAATATAAGATTAATTTCTAAACTGTTTAAATCACTAAACGGACTGACTACGTTAGTACGTGGCTTTATAACTCAGCCACGTTCGAATGACGATTATTTCACTTGCTGGCCATAATATCTGACCAATAATAACATTGTATTCATTTTGTTTACAATTGAACTTGAATTGCGCGTAGTTATGAGAGTTATGGCCGTGTGATTGTGGGTCACATCGACTTCAATCGATAGAGTGTGCACACGTACATTCATGACAATGTTGCTGATATATGTATGTGTGCCGTCATATGCAAATTACATTGAAGGTTGGCCGCGTTTTACACTACGTGTTTACCGTACTGTGCTGTCTGACCCTGACCTATCCGAGTACACAAGAGAGTGAGGTTCAACGCTTTCGTATTATAATAGTAATAGGGATGCCGACATAGAATACACGCGTGTGCATGATTTAGTTGTGACAATCATTATCGCGATGAATGCTTGCGTTTTCTGATCCGTACGTGATCGTGACGATGCTTTATCTGAACAACATGCTACTGTGCTTAAGGGGTCGGCC